CTGAATTATTGAATCTATAAGAAAAGTTTATCCGCCACGTAATCAAGATTCTGAAGAAGATTAGGTAAGTTAGTATTTTTAATTATTTGAGGATATTATTTTTATGCATTGTTCGCGATCAGGTAATTTCATATATGTTCTTTTTACCGGATTTAAAGATTCACAAAATTTTCATGCATTTTCGTTAAATTTTTCTAATTTATGAGAAAAAAGCAGTGTACATGGATATAGTGAAGAGTGTGCGCAATGCCATTTTTGTGCAATTCTGGGATGTTTTTTTAAGTAAAAATAAGTCAACGTGTACATGGTTTAGTTATATTTTAATTAAATGATAGTTATTTTGTGAATTTTATGTTTGTAGCAATTTGGTATACGTTTCAGTTGAAGTAAACGTGCATGGAAATAATTTAAATATTTGACACTAAGTATTTGTAACCATTTTTAATGTTTGTGGTATAAATTCGTTGGTGATGTTTAAAATATAATAGATAATTCATAGGTAAAAGTTTTTGGATATTTTATTTACTATTTTATACGTGGAAATGTTCATCCTTGGAAAGGGTATATACTTTTTCGCGATCAGGTAATTTCATATATGTGCTTTTTACCGAGTTTAAAGATTCACAAAATTTTCCTGCATTTTTGTGCAAATATTTATAATTTATGAAAAAATAGCAGTGTAGATGGATAAAGTTAAGAGTGTGTGCAATGCCATTTTTGTGCAATTCTGGGATTTTTTTTTACGTAAAAATAAGTCGACATGTACATGGTTTATGTGTATATGCGATTCTGAAAAATGCGGCAAGGAGTTTGCGATTCTGCACTTTTTCCCAATTTGGCAGTTAATATTTGTCATGATTAAGCAGTTTTGTTCCACAAAATTTCTAGCATAAGTGTGATTCGGATAGCAGATTGTTGGAAAAAGTGTTCAGTAAATAAAAAGAAAAGAAACATGTCTTTACTTCATGAAGACAAAATGGTGGTGAAAAAAAAAAAAAAATAGAGGGTTGCTGTAGCAGAGTTGGTCGCCAAAAAATCACCAAGTTACCATATTCCAAAGATTAACCAAATCAATTTCCTCATCATTATAAATATCACGAATACACATCAAATAGTTTTCTGGTTGCAATTTTCGGCTAATCTTTGGAATATGGTAACAGGTAATTTGGCGACATTTTGGTAAGATGATAAAGATTACTAGCTAGGACTTCAGCAGTGTACATGGATAAAGTCAAGAGCGTGTGCAATGCCATTTTTGTGCAATTCTGGGATGTTTTTTCAAGTGAAAATAGGTCGACATGTACATGGATACCATGTATGTGCAATTCTTAAAAACGCGGCAAGCAGTGGGGAATTCTGCACTTTCTCCCAATTTCACACCTAATCTTCGTCATGATTAAGCATTTTTGTTCCATAAAAGTTCTAGCATAAGCGTAATTTGGCTAGCAGATTGTTAGAAAAAAATGTTGAGTAAAAAAAAAAAAAAAAAAAAATGCCTTTACTTCATGAAAACAAAATGGCATTCAAAAAAAAAAACTAGCAGGTTGCTGTAGCAGGGTTGGTTGCTAAATTTTCGCCCAAAAATTGCCAAGTTACCATAATCTAAAGATTAACCCAATTTTCTAATTTCGACTACGCGTAATGGTACAACTCTAATATACGCCCTAATTTTACCAAATGTGGCGATATGTAATTCTGCACTGGTTTTTGGCACGATTGTGTGTTCCTATGGCAACCCTGTTGAATGTTGAAAAATCTTTCGCTGGAGCTCGTTGATTCGCCTCTGTGTCTGAGAATCCCCGGAGGGAAAGATAAAATGGTAGTTGTTGAATTGAAGTTCGGCAAAAGGAAACATGATTGTTGGCTATCCTGTTGAGAGGTAGTGGGTATCTGGAAGTGTGGAAAGAGGGTCTGGGAGATTATTTTTAATGGCAGTGCATGAGAAGTAGGGATTTGTGATTTTATTTATTTGTGAACCATAGTATAAATTTTCTGGATAGTGTGTCTGGCTGTCATGTAAATACGATAACAATTACGTGGCGGCATGTTAAAGGCGGTATGAAATTTATATTTCTGCTATTCGAAAACGCATTAATTCATGGTAAGTGCATTTTATTTTATCCTTGTTCTTATTTTGTAGAATGCTATGTTCATTGGTTCTTTAGTACTAGGATTAAGCCTGAATTTCTGTCGTTATTGTTGTTTTTAATTGTTTGAAATTTATTTTAGTTTATTTTGTTGATTAGTGTCTAGACTGTACAATTCGTAGATGTTTTTTAAAGTTGAAACAGAACGCTGTGTACATGGTATTATTTGAAATTTATTGTTGTTATGTTATTTTATTAAAGCGAGGAGTGCGTAGATCGTAGATTCCTTCCTTGCCTAAATTGTGCAATTCGTAGAATTTTTTTAAAGTTTAAACAGGATGCTGGGTATATGGTATTCTTTGAAATTTGTTGTTGTTATGTTAATTTATTAAAGCGAGGTGTGCATAGTTTGTAGATTCGTTTGTTGCCTACATTGTGCAATTCGTAGATGTTTTTTTAAGTTAAAACATGTCGCTGTGTACATGGATTCTTGTCAAATATTTTTGGTTAGAAACTTTACGTTTTTGCTATCTAAATTTTTTGTTTTTGTTTCGGATTTTTAGCTAAATTGTGTGTTCAAAACGTAGTTTTTGTATGTGCGAAAACCGCGTTTTTGGAGACATTCTAGGCTAAAAGTTCAAAATGTAGAGAAAAAATTTAGATAGTAATATGGCATCGTAAAGTTTCTCGCCAAAAATATTTGACGAGAAATTTGGCGACTTGAGGGCGCATATCAGAGTAGTTCCGCGTAATGTATGCTTTACGCATGTGCGCATTGAAAGAAATGTTTAATAAAGTAAACAAATAAATATTAAGCTTTTTTTTTTTTTTTTTTTATAAATTTTGATACCCTTTAGATTATAACTGCTCTTTATTTCATAAATTACATTTTCATATTTTTAATTTTATAATTTCTGCATGCCATCTTACTAGATTTAAACCAATGATCTATAATCCAGAAAAACCGATAATCCGGAATCACCAAAGTCAGGACGAGTCCGGATTAAAGACTTTTGACTGTATAAGGCATATATAAAATAAAGTAAGCACTTTAAACATGATATTTAGTGCATAGAAGGAACTTAAGCATATATAAGTTAAATTCCACTAAAAATTACCTGATTTAAACATATTAAGCACATGTAAACCAAATTTAGCTTGCTAAACATGAAAATTAGTACAACTGAATTCAAGTTAACAGAAAAAGATGATATTAAGCATAGGTAGTGGTTTAACATGATATTTAATATAATTAATACAATTCAGGTTGATAGAAAAGCATGATGTTAAGCATACTTTGTAGATCCAAAATCTGGTGTAAATATGCACGAAAATCCATCAAGTCTGGGGTGCAGTTAAATGGCAAAGAGAAATGGCTCGCCAAAACTTGGATTCATATTTAGGATAATTTACGACAGAGCAATATATAAGACATTCTCCACCAGTAAGTAAACCTTATTTCTTGTTAAATTTATATAAATGATACTAATTGTTAAATATATGTTATTTATTATATTCTTATATTGTGGATTTTTATTTTATGAAAGTTGCCATAGTGTTTTCTAATACCTGCCATATCAATGCAGTATACACTTTGATACTGAAATACAGTTTTATTCAACTTATACATGAACCAGAAAGTCATACATTCATAAGTAACTTATTCGCAGCTTAAGATTAAAAGCAAAAATATGTGTCTTGATTTTATTGATGATTAACCTAGAAAAGCTTTTCCTTTTTTAATAAAATAAACTTGAACAAAATATTTATGGACACCCCCATACTGACAGTCAAATTAATATTATAATGTTCAGATCCCCTGCTCAGGCCTTACACTTTCACTGACATTAACTAGAAAATTTCCAGTATTCCTATGAAAATAATTTTAGACATGCATTATCTATACAAATTGCAATTCCAAGAGAAATCAATTTAAGATACTGTATTTGCCAGCATATAAGACGTACTTTTTTTTCTTTGAAAATAGGTCTGAAAAATGGAGGTGCATCTTATCAATGTTTGATTACATTCATTTTTGGAAATTTCCTCTATTCTAACTAGTCAGCTTCAGCCTTTAGATGTCAGCATTAATAAACCATTTAAGGGATTTATGAAGGAGAAGTGGAACACCTGGATGCAGTCCTCAGATTTTGAGGTTACGCTGTCATGAAGAAGAAAGAGGCCTAACAATTTTACAAGTTTGTGAATGGGTCAAAGCTTCATGGGATGCTGTGAAAACAGATACAGTGGTTAAATTATTTAAGAAGTGTGGTACTAGTAATCCACTGGATGGTACAGAGGACAACTTGTTGTATGAGGGCTCAGATGCTGATTTAGAAGAGGTTTCAAGTCACTTTTCATTTAGCTCTGGAGATAAGTGTCCGAGTTTTGAAGAAAAAGATTAAAATGCGCGGTTTCCCAGACAGATTGGATAATTGCAGAAATTATTACTTTGCATTTGTATTACTTTATATTTAAAATACTGTAAATTCATTATAATGATCAGTATTAAAGTTTTATCCTTTAAAAATGTATATAAAATAAGGGGGTCCCCGTCTTATACGACGGAAAATACGGTAATTCTTCAAGTAACTTAATTCTTAAGTAAGACTGTTCTAAGTTTACAACTAAAGTTATTGGAAAAGAACACAGAACTACGTGAAATTCTCTCATTCGCAATTAGTATTATGCAGTGATGATATTATGAAAATATTCACTTGATAGGGATTTTTTTTTTAATTTTCCAAATCATTTTCTCAAGAATTACGGCATGCTCGCTACGTAATAACTGCCTATATCTTTCTCCAACGTGATAGTTTTTTTCATAGCATACACAAATGCTCGCCTAATGTAAAAAATGTATTAGTTCACTCACAACTCATGAAAACATTCAAACTGTTACAATATACTTACTAAACACTGAGCGCATTGACCTTGCCACAGTATTATACAACGTTTCCCCCATGGAGGACATCGTTTGATTAAGAATTCCACAAGTTCGACCACAACAAACGAAAACACACTCACATTTGCTGCACTTCAATACTGCGTCTAAGAGACCGGTGTTTCAAACATAGAACATCCGAAGATACTTTATGAGTAGTTTTTTTTTTTTTTTTTTGTTTGTTTCTTTACAATTAAGTTCAAGAGGATAATAATTTTTATTAATAAATATGAAATGAATGTGAAACGCAAATGCGTATTGAAAAGACCAGAAGTTATCTACTACTAAGAACATATAGTGAATTTGAGTTTCAGAAAGCAGCGCCTCCTTTTACTTTGTACCACGTGAAGAACATCAGTAAAACAAAGTAAAAGTCAGGTGGCCGCCATCAGTCGACGAAAAAGGTGAGTGTGTCGTCAAAAGTCCAAATCAGTAAACTCAAGAATCTAGCATAAGCAAAAAATGTTAATGAGGAGAATGTCAGATGATATTTGTCATTTTCTCTGGGAAATGAAGAACACCTAAGAGAGTTGATGTAATTGTTAGGATGAGTGAAAACTGAATAGAAGACATTTCTGGGTAGTTTTTAAATATAATCTTGAATTGTATCTACTATGCGATCACAGTGGATATACGAATTTGGAATGAACCCTGGCGCGTTGATTATCTCTCTGAGTGCTTTACTTTGAAGACCTTTGCAGTGTCGCTTCAGTTCCGTTAAGTTTCTAATGAAGTTTAGTTAAAGCGGAATGGCAACACCTTCTAGTCTCCGCGAAGACCGAAGTAAACAAACTCCGAGTTTTTGTCACGCGATGCTACGTGCATGTAAAATGTAAATAAATATTATGAATAAGAAGCTATAACATCGTAAGGAATAAAATATTGGTTCCATAGGAGTCAGAGAGTGTTATTTTTCTATATTTGCACACCAGACACTTCACTGGTGTATCCCGGCGTGATCGAATTCTACAATGGCTGACGAAGACGAAACCGAAATTAAAGCAACAACTGCATCTGTCGCCAAGGTAAGCGTTAAAGTTCCCTCCTTTTTGGAAGCCAGATTCTAAAATATGGTTTATTCAACTAGAAGCACAATTTAGAAATGCAAAAATTAGTGTAGATCAAACAAAATATGATTATGTTATAAGTTCCATTGAACCCGATATTTTGTCACTAGGTGTCTGATATTTTGCCAAGTCCACCGCAAGATAATAAATATGAGGCAATTAAAAATAGACTAATTTCATTATATGCTGATTCAGAGACTCAAAAAACCCAAAAATTACTGAGTGAGTTAGAACTGGGTGAGAAAAAGCCATCTCAATTGCTGTGTGAGATGCGTAATTTGGTGGGCGAATAAAGTAACAGATACTTTCCTAAAAACATTGTGGCTACAACGTTTACCCGTTAATATGCGTAATGCATTATATCTGTTAGTAGTGATGAAGATTTGTCAAAAGTGGCTACAAATGGCCGATAAGATTTGGGAATTAAACCCTGTTACAACCCAAATAGCTGCTGCATCATCCATAACGGTAAAAACGGAAGTGATTGAAAGTTTTCAAAAACAGGTTAGTGAACTTAGCCTTACAAGTTTCTGCTTTATCTAAGCAACGTCATAGTCGTCCCTATTGTCGTAGCCGATCCAAATCAAGAGATAGGAGCTTACAGTGGTAACAGATCTAGTGATATTTGTTACTATCCTTAAAAAAAATTCGGTGATAATAAGTCATTTAAGTGTAAACAACCCTGCTACTACTCATCAAAATCACAGACAAATAGTCCCGGAAAATGAGCTCCCCGGTCTCTCATTGACGACGGAGGGACAAGGGGTGCAGCTGAGTCGTCTTTTTCGCATCAGCGACAAAGAATCGGCTACCCAATTTTTAATAGAATACCGGGGCAGAAATTTACTGTCATTCCTCCCTTACCTTCAGATAAAAAAACATCTCAAAATTAGATGCTGCAAATTGCAAATGCTGCAAATGGCACGAAAATCAAAACATATGGCCAAAAATTACTCAAGCTTGATCTTGGACTCAGACGATCATTCACATGGCCTTTTGTAATTGCGGACGTAAACAACCGATAATAGGCATGGATTTTCTTGCAAATTTTAACCTTTTGGTAGATTCTAAAAATCGCAAGTTGATTGATGGTACTACATTCTTAACAACCAATGGAACTCCTTGTTTTTCAAAATAACAATAATATTTCCAATTTTAAATGCCGTAAATGATCCATATAAACGTCTCATTAACGATTTTCCAGGATTTGTTAAAACTGAATGTAGTTAATAATAAAGTTAAAAATCATAACATCGAACATTATATCGAAACCAGAGGTTCCACCAGTTTTCGTTAAAGCCAGAAGACTATCAGCTGGAGAAACTCAAAGCGGCTAAAAAGGAGTTTGAATTTATGCTCCAATTGGGTTTATGCAGGCCATCCAAAAGTAACTGGTACCTCGAGCCCACTTACATCTCGCTATGAAGAAGTCAGGTGATTGAAGACCTTGTGGAGACTATCGAGCGTTAAACAACGTCCACGATTCCTGATAGATACCCTCTCCCATTTTTTAACAGATTGCAGTTCCATTTTAGCTGAAACAAAAGAGTTTTCTCATCCATAAACCTCATTAGAGCGTACCAACCAATTCCAGGTTCGCGAAGAAGATCTATCGAAAACGGCCATTCTCACTCCCTTTGGCTTATTTGAGTTCCCATTCATGACGTTCGGCCTACGAAATGCAGGTCCCAAACGTTCCAACGTTTCATGAACAGTGTGTTGAATGGACTAGAATTCGTGTTTTGCTATTTGGATGACATTCTAATAGCCTCTCCAGATGAAGAAACTCATCGAAAACATATACGAGCAGTCCTCGAGAGACTAAACGAATATGGCCTGTGTATTAATGCGGCAAAGTGTAAATTTGGTCAAGCAAAACTTGCATTCCTGGGATACGAAGTGTCAGCTGAAGGACTTAAACCTCTTTCAACGAAAGTTGATGCCATCAAAAAATTTCCCAGAACCATTTCCCAAAGTCATTTACTAGTTTAAGACGATTTTTAGGTATGGTGAATTTTTATCACAGATTCATACCAAATTGTGCAAAACTGCAACAACCTTTAACAACAGTGGTATTAAACCTCAGTGGTAACAACCTTTAACAACATTGCTCAGTGGTATTAAAAAGAACTGCAAAAAGAAATAACCTGGACGGCAGAAACAAGAAACGCCCTTCCAGATCTTAAAAGATGCACTTATTCATGCCACAAACTTAACTCACCCATCCGAAAAGGCTGAAACATCGCTAACAACTGATGCTTCCGATACTACCATTGGAGCCGTTTTACATCAGATTGTGAACAATGAAAAACACCTTAAGTTTCTTTTCCCGAAATTTGAACATCAGCACAACAAAAATATAGTGCCTACGATAGAGAACTCTTAGCCATCTATACAGCAGTAAAACATTTCAAATACATTCTTAGAAGGGCGAACCTTTTGCAACATACACGGATCAACAAACCAACTAACATTTGCCTTCCAACAAAATTTGGAAAAAGCTTCGCCACGACAAGCTCGACAACTGTCATATATAGGCCAGTTCTCAACCGATATCCGATTCATACAAGGGCATGAAAATACCGTCGCTGACGCTCTCTCTCGCATAGACACCATTTCTGTACCATCTGCAATAGACTTACAAACTATAGTAGACTGTCAAGAAGATGACGACTTGGAGATACTAAAAAACAACCCAAACTTAAAAAATCCTACAGATCCCTATACCGGACAGCGACAAGAAAATTTACTGTGATACTTCTACAAATTATAATCGACCATACATCCCTGCAAAGTTTCGGCAGAAATATTTTCTTCAATCCATAATTTATCTCATCCTGGAATAAGATCCACGATAAAATTGATAACACGACGTTTCATATGGCCCAATATGAATAAAGACTGCCAACTAGGACTAGAGCATGTTTATCTTGCCAAAGATCTAAAGTTCACAGACATACACATTCATCTTTGGGAATTCAAAGTACCTCCACACAGATTCCAGCATTTAAACATAGATCTGGTGGGTCCGCTACCACCTCCTTGCAAAGGATTCAAATACCTTCTAACCATCATCGATCGTTATACACGATGGATCGAAGCGGGTACCGTTAGAAGATCAATCAGCAGAATCTATTGCTAAAGCTTGATTTATACTTGGTTTTCACGCTTTGGAATTCCGAATCGCATAACATCTGACCAAGGTCGGCAATTTGATAGCCAACTTTTTCAAGCTTTAGGAAAATATCTTGGTTTTCATACAAACACTACAACTGCGTACCATCCACAGGCAAATGGCCTGATCGAAAGACAACACCGAACTTTAAAGCAAGTCTCAAATGTCATCTACTCGAATCAAAATCATGGCTGGAAGCATTGCCTTTCGTTCTATTAGGCATAAGATCTGCCATCAAGAAGACTTAGGTTGCTCATCCGCAGAACTTGTATACGGAACTCCTTAGCATTACCCTGGTGAATTCTTTTTCAACAGTACCCTCATATGAAACAGTCTGAATTTTCCTCAAAACCTTCAGAAAATAATAAGAGACATGAAGCCAAATTCTACCACCACCCATGGAAATAGAACAGTCTTTATTTCTAAACATCTTTCCAACTTTTCTCACGTATTCTTACACAACAACATTAATAATTCTTCACTACGGAAAGTCTATCTTGGACCGTATCCTGTAAGCGCAAGAAAGGATAAGTATTTCGATATTGAAATTCAAGGAAAAGTTAAAAGAGTATCAGTAGACAGACTAAAGCCATATTTCCTAGTGCAAGATTCTGATATTCCTTTCCAAAACTCCATTCCAAGAAAGCGGGACTTGGGGAAACACCTGCACTCAAGAACACTGAAGGAAATTGAGAAACTCATCATGTAACTAAGACTACTAGAATCGGCAGACATGTAAAGTTCTCCAATCACTTTAAAGACTATCTTCCATAATCGCTGTCACTAGGAAAGGGGTGTGTAGTGTCGCTTCAGTTCCGTTAAGTTTCTAATGAAGTTTTAGTTAAACGGAATGGCAACACCTTCTAGTCTCCGCGAAGAACGAAGTAAACAAACTCCGAGTTTTTGTCACGCGATGCTACGTGCATGTAAAATGTAAATAAATATTATGAATAAGAAGCCATAACATCGTAAGGAATAAAATATTGGTTCCATAGGAGTTAGAGAAGTGTTATTTTTCTATATTTGCACACCAGACACTTCAACCTTGGATGTGTTGAAGGTGAGTTTTGGCAGCGTGGCCGCAGACAGGACTACCATAGTAATGCTGGTCGAAGTACAA